CCCCCCCCCCCCCCCCCCCCCCCCCCCCCCCCCGTCCCAATCGCTCCTCGCGAGGAACAGAGATACTTGGGAAGAAGCCCGTAGAGCAGCAAGCGGGAAGAAAAGTAACCCTTGGCAAAAGCTGTCGATCGTTGTTCCCTGCCAGCGGGTGCAGCCAAAATATAAAAGATCTATTATTACTAGTGAGAGCCCTGCCTCATGAACATCTCTTCTTAAAATGGTACCTGTAGCTGCAGCCATCTGCAGAAGTTGTGTTGTGATAAGCTCGGGGCTTGATGCGGCAGCAGCTGTAGCTGCTGCCGTTGTTGCTGCTGTGGTACCTGGGGCTCCGGCCAACGGTGTGTAGCGGAAACGCCCTGTCTGAGGGGTATGATGTATTGGACCGGTGCCAACTCGTCGTCCAGATGCTGCCGTAAGTGAACTGAGCAACGCAAGCGGCATTAATGCCGATGCTGCTTGCGCAATCTGAAAATGCGACCACTAAGTGGTTGATCTTCACTGTCTGTGAGTCAAGTTGCTATTTGAGATGAATTCTTCAGAAGGTATGGTTCGGCCTGCAACGGCCGAAAAAACCTCTTGACAATTTCACCCTCTTCGGCCGCTTTACTTGGACCGCCCATTTTTGGTTCAGCCTTTTTGGCTCTTACGTTCTGTTCTATTCCTAAAGTACTAGTGTACTAGCCTGTAGTTGTGCTTTTTGAGCATTTGCTGCTGGATTATTGGCGAATTTAACAGTGATTGGCTCGGTACATCCAGCTGGAATTGTACCATTCAGTTTCTCAATTGCCTCTTCGGCTTCGCTTTTTCGATCGAATCGCACAAAGCCAACACCTTTCGATATTCCTAAATAACGGTGTTTAAATGATAAATAACATAAACAGCAACAACAATGACAATAAAGTCAATAGTGGTGATGATAAAGGCAACAATAATAATTGATAATGGAAGCAGCGTTTCAAAACGCCGCTGCAATACGATAGTCAAAAGACTAAAACTCGGCACGGCTGGTGGCCGATGACGTTCGGAAAGCGCTCTAGCATCTCTACTGACGCTACTTCACAGCGGCGCTTGCTGACGTCATTTGACGCATCGCCAGAAATGCTGGGTTCTATGCCGTAGCGGGATAAGGAAACCCAAAAAAATCATTCGCAGGTCGGCCGAGCCGAGCCGAGCCGAGGTTTAGCTACTGCCTAGGTAAAATTCCCAAATTTGAATAAATAATTGGCCAATGTACGGGCTGCCCGTGCGAAGATGCGTTTTTTGCTTAGTTCCCCGCAGTTTTTGCTGCTACCGGCATCGGTTTTTTCGGCAATGCTTCTAGCTAAACAAACTAAAACTGGCCGCCAGAACTCTCAGGAAACATCCCCCTAAAATTTCAGCTGGTATATCCTCTTAAAATTACATTTCTTCAGCTTCTCAGGTAATTGAGTTATCAATTTACACGAAAAAGTTTTGGCGAGCTCGTACGCGGGCACCACGCTTACCCGGAGGCTGGGCTTGAGCCCACTAATACCCGCTTGGGCGGGGAACACTACCACAAAATTTCAGCTTTTTAGCTCCTCAGATCCCCGAGTTATGAACTGACCCCAAAAAAACTTTGGCGGGCCCGTACGCTGGTACCACGCGGGTTTTGGC